GTATGTAATATATACTTGTTTCAGAGGAAAGGACATGTTACTTGGAATAGCAATAGCATCACCAATACTCTCTGTGTATATTGCAATAGAGTCTATGGCCAGGCCTTTTAAAAGAGTTTCACTGAATATTTTCAATTTGTGTCTCCTTTCAGTTTCAGCTCTTGTTTATGGATCTAGCCTGTACTTCATGAAAAGCGATCATGAAGATGGACTAATGATCATTATTGCTGTTTCTAATGCTGTTATCATTACATCTTCGCTTGGTGTAATCATTCTACACATTTTATGGGTAACTGGTCTAATGGAAAAGATAAAGAGTAAGTTTAGAAAGTATTGGTCTCATTGTCTACCACAACAGAATCAAGAAGAAGCAGCTCAAGTTGGTGCTGATATGAGTGGATCATTTTTTGAACCTTATGATAGAGTGAGAGAACCACTCCTCATTAACTGACGATTATTAACATTGTGCATGTGTGGTGTGTTAGATTCTAATTGTTTTATTGTCAATGCATACATAAAACTTTCAATTTTTAGCAGTTTTCCTCATGTTAACTCTTGTTCATTAATCATTGTTTACTTATAAGCTGCTTACAATTGCAGGCTTGTGGCTAAAGTGTAGAACAAACTAGCAACATACAACATACTAGCAGACTATGCAAGAAGATGCATAAAATTGAAAATTTTTATTATATAACTTCAAAAATACAAATATTATACAATAAGTCACTCAGCATTATTATTAATGATATTGAATATGTTGTGAGGAGAGAAGTGGTTCCCTCACTCTGTCGTAAGGTTCAAAGAATGATCCACTCATATGTGAGAACTCTTCCTGTTTCTGCTGCGATTGACAAAACCAGCAATTTTTAATCTTATTAATTATATTTTTCAATAAAGTATTTACCCATGGCAAGCGAGCAACAGTTATTCCAATTAGTGAACCTGTAGTTACCAAATTCAAAATTGTCATGAGTATAATGACACCTTGGTCTTGTCCTTTCTTGATAAAGTACCAGCTTGAGCCATATACAACTGATGTTACTGAAAGAAGAACAAAATTAAAAATATTTAGTGACATTTTTTTGAATGGCCTGCACAATCCTTCAAGTGCTGTGTATGTAGTGAGTATTGGCACTGCTATTGCAAAGCCTAAAAAGAAGTCCCTTCCTCTTACCGTATCATACAGAAAATAAATAAAAAGTACAATTAGCAGTCGTGAAACGAAAAAGAATTCCTTGTTTCTTTTGTAAGGAGCATGTATAGCTTCATATACAGGACGTATATATTCTCTGATCTTATAATTGATCCTCATTAGTGGCCTACCAGCTAATAATACAGTCATGTATACACCTAATATAGGACCAACTACCAGTGATGTAATGATCATTAGTACTAGATGACCATGTGTTCCATACTCAACTGTAGCATCTCTAAACCAAACTCGACGGACCTCAGTTGTGTTAGTGTATATATTGATTGGTGTGAACACACTCATAATGATAATAAGTAACTTGGAGAATGAGAGGTGTACTACAGTAACCAGTACTTGTACTGATGAATCAGATATTCTGTTTGAGAGTCTAACTGAATAGCGACTGAGTAATATCAGAATGAGCACTAACAGGATAATGTACACTGGATAGAGCATACTGATTCCTAGTTTTCCAATTTCTGTCATTCCATTGTACAAGCAAACTTTAAATGGGAATTTGATAAGAAGGAAGCAGTCCAAGATTGCATTTGAATAGCTGTAATTTGAAGGTGGAACATCTATAACTGCAAACAATTGCCCACAGAATATGATACCATTTAGACTACCAGTAGTTAGTGTCAGTTTGAGAACATACAACAAGTAAATGAGAATAGGACCAGACACTGCATATGTTATTAGTGTGAATAGCCACCAGTTACTGCATTGCTTACATTCATAAGATCCAAACACTGCACTATAACCAGGAGGACATTGTGAACACAAAGGACCCTCTCTATTACCAATACATAAGGACAAAGTGTTGTTGTGATCCTGAATTGCAACATTTGTGCTATTCACAACCAGTACAGTAGAGCTCTTTCTTCTCCTGCAATATAAGAAACATGTGCTTGCTACTCCAATTACAGTCCCTTTGTTAGGCAGCTCCATTAGCCCAAGCCATTGCATTCCTTGCACTTCAATTGTAGGAAGTGATGAGTTTTTTGGGTTTATGTTGCAATTTGGAGTTACATTTATTTTGTCCCAAATTTTGGAACAGTCACATATGCCAGCTGGTTTAAGATCAAATCCTATGGGACAATTAAATAATTTCAAATCAATAATTTTAGAGAATGAATCATACATTGTTGACACTATGAGGAGATGTGAATTAGGAGGTACAGGTCCTGTGCCTGTTTTCAAGAAACTGATAGTTGTAAGAGTACAGTTTTGATTCTCGAGAAGAACTTGATTGATGTCTTTTGGTGATACTTCCCATGATGGAAGACTTTTAAATGCATGTTTTTTCTCGTTAAATTCGCCAATTGCAAATGATACAACAGCCCGTTGAACCACGTTTTGATCATTGTCCTTGTAGCTTGCAGACAAGTAGAGTTTAATAGCCTGGCCTGGAAACACTTGTTTTATATTTGATGCATTACAGACTCTTATTTCATTTGCTGGAGTGGACATGTTATTCAACGTGGAATTAGAAATAAATTTAAATATGGTACTGTAGAGAGATAGTGACTGAGCTGTCTTTCGAAATTCACCAGCAGCAATGCATTTATACAAATTGTTCGCGTAAATAGAGCTACCAGACTCTGATGCACTGTTATTAATAAATGTCACTCTGATGTTGACAGGAATGCTCTCCTGAGTTTTGAAAAGGCACTCGTCTGTTAAATGATCATATGAATATATAGCACCTCCTTTTGTCAGAGCAGTATTATTATTGAATCTGAGCCTTAATCCATTAGCAAAATGAAAGTGACTGTTATCATGAAGCTGGAATGCAGATCCCCTCTCTCCTTTATTATTCACAAAATCAATTGTACCATTAAGATTAATCCTTGTGTTAGTGATTTCAAACACAGAGCCGTAGTTATCATGAAAACTATTCATTCCAGTAATATTAAGCTCATGAGCATTTACTATAGTAAATAATCCAGCTCTGGAATTTATACTTAAAATGCTTGTCTGAAAGTTTTTATTTGCTTTCACATTCTTCAGTATGATAGACAGAACTTCAAGTTGAACTCTGTCATTGAAAAATACTTTTGCATATAAGCAAGACCCAGTGGTCATAATGTTGTTGCCATGAAATATAGTTTTACTGAAAAAGACAGTAATTCTACTAGCTGATACTGGTCTGTATACTCCAATAAAAACTGCCCCACTGCTACCTGTGTAATACCTTCCTGAATTTGTAAAATTGCTGTTCTCAACAATTAATGAGTTATTTTGTCCTGTAAGATTTAGTGTTACTAGTGCCAAACTTGCTCCATAAGCTTCACAATTGTTTTTGTGAATTGTACTATCACTAAATTTTGTGTTTTTGATTGTTGTTATAACATTGTTTGTTTTGTAATATAAAATGAGTATTGCTCCACCTGTTGTGCCATTGTTAGTTATAAAATAAGATGATAAAATTGAAACATTGCATGGAAAGCTTAATTGGGAGTAGAGAATTGTTAATCCAGCTGCATTGATGACTGGAAATTCCTTGGAGGCTGTTTGAGGAAAATCATGAAGACAGTCAACTGTTGATATATACTCAGAATTAAATATTAATACAGTGTTTCTAATAGTAATATGAAGAGGCACTGCTCTCTTTGCTTTGCTAGTATCTGTAATGTATAACAAGATGCCGCTACCAATGCTATGATTATAAAATGAAGCAGCATAAGCTCCAGAGACTTCAATGCTATTTATTGTTGCATTCACTGGGTTGATGGTTAGTATAGCAAAACCATAATAAAATGTAATGTTAACATCTTCAATTAATAGAATATTAATGTGTGGAAATAGTAACACAGCTGATTGATATTGAGTGAAATGAAATGGATAATCAGTAGAATTAATGACATCAATGATTGAACTGTTCTTTAAAAACCCACCACAACCACTAAATACTAACCTTTGTAGAGTCAGGTTGCGTACATTAATGAAGGAAAATCCAGTGGTTGGCCAAGGTAAGTGGTTACCAGTTTGATTGCAGTTAATGGTAGCTGGTCCTGATGAATTACTGGTTATATTCAGTGAGTAGGTAGTATTGATCATACAGAATGATACATTTCCACTAATGTAATGAGTGATGTTAGTATATAATACTACAAGAGTGTCCCCCACTACTGGTGGATCATTGTAGCACAAGAACTGCTCCAGCTCATTCTCTTCAGTCACATTAATAACATGAAGATGAGCTCCTGAAAATGAGAGAGAAACAATAAGAAATAATAATGATAAAGAAAAGAAAGACATTGCTTCTTTTGATTATCCAACAAAGCAGACTCTCATTTTATAGCTCAGTTGCTGTTTTCATAACTTATTATGACCAAAAGACAAAATTGAAAGTAAATTTTAAAAACAGTTTAGAAAAGCAATACAAAAGTTATTCAAGTGTCACTGGGATGTTTTCATTGTCTATTCACATAAGTACTACAAGTTGCAACAATTAATCAACTCTTACCTATAAAATTGGCTTCATTTTCAGTTTTGTTCTCTCTCAAGGAAACTAAAGCACAAGTTGTTTATGCACCATTAACTGTATTGCTTGAAAATTATACACTCATTATTGTCAATCATCATGTTTCTAATTTTAATTATACTAATAATTATTACTTTCATACATGTACTAGTAAGTGGGTGTGTCAATGAAAAGAACATGTGCATGATGCGTATATTGTGAGAAAATGTACATGTGCTATTTATAGAACAAGTCATTGAGTCGTGTGTTACTATTTTTAGAAAGTAAATCAAGATGAAGTGCTTGGTGGTTGATTACTAGGGGACTGACCGGTCGTCGTCATGGGAACGCCGGGGACACTCCCACCCATCCCAAGCATCCCGGGTTGCCATGGATACGCAGGCGGAAGAATCGGCCTGTTTGAAAGAGGAGTCAACTGTGGCAGAGAAGGAGAACGATAATAAGGATGATATAATGGGAATATCTGAGGGATGGAAGCAGCAGAGGAGGAGGAGGAGGAGGAGGGAGGGAGGTGAGAGTTAGGATTCATGTTAGCCAAGTTTTGTCTTTGTGCCAGTAAGTACTGAAGGAAGTAGGGATATGGATTAGGATGCTGTGTGGTGGTGCCGGAAAAAGGTGTGGCCCCCTGGTAGTGGGTGGGGTCAGTCTGTGTAGAGGGAGTGGAGAGTGATGTTGGTACCGAAGGAACTGGCATTGATGAGGGAAAGGATTGACGGTAATATAGAGGAGAGAGGAAAGGGGGTGTGGCTCCCGTAGCCATGGTTACAGGTGGGGGGACACCCCCGTGAGACATAAGGGGGTTAAGCGTTGGCATGGTTACCATATAAGGAGATTGGGAGGACGGGGGATGAGGGGAGTGGCCACAAGGGGATGTTCCTCTTGAAGGGATTGGGGAATGGGGATAAGCCGTGGGAGGTACCCTAGGACTATTGAGCTTTGGACTGCTAACCTTCGTATGCTGTGGACTGATGGAACTGGTTCTTGTGTTATTTGGTAATAAAACTTGTGCTGCAGTGAAAGACGATGACCCAACGCTCTCTTCTAAATTCCTCTCTGTCTCTATGGGACTGTCAGTAACCGATATGTGTATCTCTGGACTGATAGGAGGAGGATCCTGGGATTTTATGAGTATCTTATCTCGCTGTATGGATACCGGTAGCGACATGGAACCTCCTTCTTTATCTTTCTTGATCTTTTGTTCCTCTCCTTTCTCCTCTTTCTCTGCCTTCTCCTCTTCTTCGCTTTCAGTACCGGAATCAAACTCCTCAACGTCTGATTGAATGGTCACTCTGGCCCCGCCCCCAGTTGAAGGAAGAACCTCTCCTTCTCCACCACCTCCTAACGACTTAGACTTGCTCTTACCTTCGACCACGCCCACTTTATCGCCTGGCTCGGGCGTGGCCTCGCTTGAAGAACTTGACGAGGAACTTGAAGACGAAGAGGAAGAGTTCCCGTCACTTTCGCTATCCGAAGAACTATCAGACTCGGACTCGGAACTAGCGGGTCCCTCCCCGCCCACAGGTTTCTCATTTAACCACACCCCTTCAGAATCGGACTCATCGCTGGTACTTTTTAGTTTGTCTGGAGGGTATTCCGAGTGACCCTCACCAGAGGAAGTTGAGTCTGTTTTAAAACGTTTCTTTCTGACCGGGGCAAACATGTTGATCCCAATCGAAAAGAACTTTCCTCTTTCAATTTCAATATTGTTTTGGGATCTCGTTCTTGTTGATATCGGGTCTATGAAGTCTGTTGGTTTTCTCCCACGTCCTCTTGATGGTCTTGATTTCTCTTCTGGATGAGATGATTTGTCATCATTTGGAGTGTCAGAAGAAATCCTATTACAAGACAATAAAATGAATGTACATTTGTTTGTAAGAATAACATCATCATTACTATTATTTAAATGTTATCTATGTACATGTATTACTTAACATGGCTCCGAAATCACCCCAAATTTTTATTACATTTTCTGATACATATTGACGTCCTCATGCTGTGTAGAAAGTTTGAGCTGATTCCAACTTCAATTTTTCGAGTTACGGCCATTTTAAAAAATGCCAAAATTCTGAAAATACCCAAGGCTATAGCCCATGGTTTTTTCCAAAAAATGGCTCCGAAATCACCCCAAATTTTTATTACATTTTCTGATACATATTGATGTACTTATGCTGTGTAGAAAGTTTGAGCTGATTCTGACTTCAATTTTTCGAGTTATGGCCAATTTAAGAAAACGCCAAAATTCTGAAAAGTACCCAAGGCTATTATAGCCCATGGTTTTTTTCCAAAAAATGGCTCCGAAATCACCTCAAATTTTTATTACATTTTCTGATACATATTGATGTCCTTATGCTGTGTAGAAAGTTTGAGCTGATTCTGACTTCAATTTTTCGAGTTACGGCCATTTTAAGAAAATTCCAAAATTCTGAAAAATACCCAAGGCTATAGCCCATGGTTTTTTCCAAAAAATGGCTCGGAAATCACCCCAAATTTTTATTACATTTTCTGATACATATTGATGTCCTTATGCTGTGTAGAAAGTTTGAGCTGATTCTGACTTCAATTTTTCGAGTTATGGCCAATTTAAGAAAATGCCAAAATTCTGAAAAGTACCCAAGGCTATAGCCCATGGTTTTTTCCAAAAAATGGGTCCGAAATCACCCCAAATTTTTATTACATTTTCTGATACATATTGACGTCCTCATGCTGTGTAGAAAGTTTGAGCTGATTCCAACTTCAATTTTTCGAGTTACGGCCATTTTAAAAAATGCCAAAATTCTGAAAAATACCCAAGGCTATAGCCCATGGTTTTTTCCAAAAAATGGCTCCGAAATCACCCCAAATTTTTATTACATTTTCTGATACATATTGATGTCCTTATGCTGTGTAGAAAGTTTGAGCTGATTCTGACTTCAATTTTTCGAGTTATGGCCAATTTAAGAAAACGCCAAAATTCTGAAAAGTACCCAAGGCTATAGCCCATGGTTTTTTCCAAAAAATGGGTCCGAAATCACCCCAAATTTTTATTACATTTTCTGATACATATTGACGTCCTCATGCTGTGTAGAAAGTTTGAGCTGATTCCAACTTCAATTTTTCAAGTTACGGCCATTTTAAAAAATGCCAAAATTCTGAAAAATACCCAAGGCTATAGTCCATGGTTTTTTCAAAAAAATGGCTCCGAAATCACCCCAAATTTTTATTACATTTTCTGATACATATTAATGTCCTCATGCTGTGTAGAAAGTTCGAGCTGATTCCGACTTTAATTTTTCGAGTTACAGCCATTTTAAGAAAATGCCAACATTCTTAAAAATACCCAAGGCTATAGTCCATGGTTTTTTTTTCAAAATTGTTAGTCATGTCTCATTCCCTACACATGTAACATATACATGTAAGTATAGAATAGTTAATGTGCCAATATCTGTAGTCCATCACATCCCTTGAAATAAAATACCATTTGTTAAAACAAGTGTACGTGCAATTTCTTAATTAGTTCAATTAAATATACACATAAATATTTCTTTAACACATCTACTATCAAGAGTGGATAATACCTAAAGAGAGTATCCAATGGCCCTATTGAGGCCTGTTGCAAGTGTGTGGATTTCTAGGAAGTCACGTTCCGCATACTTCAGTAGTTTTCAATCAATGTTTATACAGATGTATTGTTATAACAACATTTATCATTGATAATATACAGGAGTATCCTGAACGTGACTTCCTAGAAATCCACACACTTGCAGCAGCTGAGATGGGGCCTGTTGGATACTCTCTTTAGGTATTATTTACTCTTGCTAGTAGTGATAGCTACTTAATTAATTTAACAATAATAAATAAATAATTATTATTTAATTATTATTACTTGTCACTAGCTCCTGGTTCCTCATTCCTTTCACCATCAACATCGTCTTCGTCTTCAGTACCTAGTATATTATTAGTAAAACTCAGTAAAATTCTGTCCACAGTCAGTAAAACTTAGTATAACACTACATGCATATTAGTAAATTTCTTTTACATGATTATAATTAGTGGTAATTTCAGCAAAATTCTAACACAAGAATTTCTACTCTGTTAGTATACTATTATAGGTAACTTCAGTATATTATTAGTATATTATTAGTCTCACCAGTGGTGTTATCGTTACAGTAACTATTGACTACTAATGGAGACCAGTGGAGAGCTTCTGGATCTAGTGGAATCCTAACTGTCTTACCACTGTTAATCTGAGAGGAGAGAGGGAGAGAGAGGGAGGGAGGGAGGGAGAGAGGGAGGGAGAGAGGGAGGGAGGGAGGGAGGGAGGGAGGGAGGGAGAGAGGGAGAGAGGGAGAGAGAGAGAGAGAGAGAGAGAGAGAGAGAGAGAGAGAGAGAGAGAGAGAGAGAGAGAGAGAGAGAGAGAGAGAGAGAGAGAGAGAGAGAGAGAGAAAGCAATTACATATACATGTACAATGTAGTATAGCCTACACTCTCTATAGCGTACACCTCCATTTAACAGACAGCACCTAGTGTACCAATTACATTCCTTACTGTATAAAATAACCTCCACATAAAGGA